TGTCCATACTCTTTTTGGGATATCACCATCCAAAGAAACTGACGGAAAAAAATTAATCAAATCAACTGCAGTCCTCATTGTTTGACCCCAAACGATTTTGATAATTTAGCATTAGAGAGCATGCATCTGACCCGCTTAGTGATGGATCTGTTCATCCTCTTTACTATTCCATTCTCTTGAGGAATTTTTGGTACTGTCTATTTTAGTCTGATCACATAGGACTTGCAGTAGTTTTCAAACGGTCTCCTGTACTCACCACTATTGTCAACACGAACACATTTTAAGTGCTTGCCAGTCTCTCTCTCAATTTTGTTATGAAAATCTTTGAACACATCCAAAACCTAATCTTTGGATTTCAAAGCAAAATATCAAACTTTTCTAGTAAAGTCATCAATAAAAGTTACAAAATAAATAGCACCATCAAGAGACCTATCTTTCATATAGCAAACATCAGTGTGCACCAATTCTAATGGATTCAAATTTCTAGATAGAGAAAAATTTTGAAATGCAACTTTGTGTTATTTTCCATAAATACAGTCAATACAAAGTTTAAGTGCATTACCTCTGATTCAGGTAGAAACTGCTTGAGAATAAGTGTCTGAATTCTCTTTTCACTCATGTACCCAAGTCGAATTACGAATTGCATTCACTTCTCCTTTCCCCAACTTGGCTTGGATCAAGTAGAGGGTACTCTATTTTTTTCCTTCGGTAACAACGAGATTTTGGTTGCTGAGTTTTCATTTGCGTCCACCTTACGAGTTATGGTAACCCTCATCATCAAATTTTTCTATAGAAACAAGATTAAAGCCAATATCAGAAACATATCCATCATTTTTCAAGACTAACTAGCACCCGATATTTGTGTTCAAATATATGTCTCCCATACTAATAATTTTGTCCGAAACCTCATTCCTCAATGTAACATAGTCAAAGTCTCCTTCAATGTAAGTTGAGAAAAAATACCTATGAGGAGCAATATGGTAGAATGTATCCGAATCAACTACCCATTCACTGTCATGAAGGGTAATATTCATATGACCATCATCACATAACACAAACATATCATCATGAGCTACCATAACTGTTGTAGTCTTTTTATTATCTTTTTCTTTCACCCGGCCTTTGCTCTTTTTTTTAACTTGTTCCCGTTGTAAGATTCTACAGTCCTTCATATAGTGCCCATTCTTTTTACAATAAAAGCGTGTATCATTTTTTCGTGACTCAGATCTGCATCTGGATCTGTCATTCTTGTTGTGGGGTCTTCTACTTTTGCTGCTCTCTCTTTATTCTTTCTTTTCTATCACCAGGGCTTGGGATTAATTCATAATTTCTTGTTCCTTCCTCTTGAGTTCTTCATTCATCATAGCCTCTTTTGCTATATCCATGGTCAGCACACCATTCGAAGTTGAATTACTGATATAAACTACCATTGTCTCCCAACTATCCGACAGTGAACTGAGCAATAGCAAAGTTTGCACTTCATCATCCAAGTTCAAATTCAACGTAGCTGTTTGGTTTATCAAACCCTGAAAATTACTGAAATGTTCAGTCATATTTGCACCATATTTGTATCTCATCCGAGTAATTTGTTTCAGACAAGAGGCTTTATTTAAATCGATTTTTTTTCGTACATACCTTCTAACTTTTTTCACAGTATATCAGCTCTAATTTCATTAGCAAAGCGTTGAAAAATATTCTAACCAATCCACATTCTAATATTACCAATAGTTTTTCTGTGCATAACAGCTCACTTTTCATCACCATATCATTTAGCCTACCCTTATCTCCTAGAATAAACTCAAACAAATCTCTACAATATAGGTAGTTTTCCATTCTAGACTTTCAAATCGAATAATTAGTTGCATTCAATTTTATCATACAACTACTATCAGAATTATCCATTTTAACCAGTACAAATGAGCAGCCACGCTGCTCTGATGCCACTATGTTGGAAAATGGTACCGGTGCAAACACACAATATCAGAGTTAATCTAGAACAAATTACTCTTTTCTCAAGTACCAGTTAAAATAGGAATAAATCAAATCACCAAACAACAATGTCAACAATAATAATAAAATACAGAAAAATAAAAGGTAAAGGACACCAAGATTTTTAACGTGAAAAATCCAAATTAAAAAAAATCACGGGACCTAGTCCAATCAAAAACTCCACTATCATAATAATGGGAATACACAGATCTACCCGAAATATTCGGATAACAACAATATTACCAGTATCAACCAAGCAAAATTGTTACAAAATCACCCCCAAAAATTATAACCGTCAAAAAAGTGGATTTGGAAGGGTGTTACCAAACGAAAAGGAAATCCAAAATTTGAACCAGTAGATGGGTAGAATTTGACGAGAGAGTCACGTGGATAAAATTTCGTCTCAATTAAGTTTCGAATCACCCTTCAATCAAGATCTTGAAGTTGTTTCTCTCTCTAGTTTCTCTCCCCAATTTCTCTCTCTTTGTTCCTCACCAAGAAAAGAAAAACAGTGGCTGAATTTTTTTTCTTCTTCGGTTGATGAATCTCACAACTGAAACTTATATCTTTGTTTTTGAAGAAAGAAAAGTACTAATCAACTTTTCCAAGTCAAATTTTGAATTCAACCTAATGGACTTTTATTTTGTGGTTTGGACCACCAAATGGACTAGACCACAAGCCCAACAATAGTATATCATTCGTGATAAAATGTAAATTTATCACATTGATTAATCAAAGTTGAGTCTAATATCACGGTAAGGAAACAATTTCCAAATATGTATATGCAGTGGAAATTTGAAATTTATTTCCTATAAAATTATTGTCTTTGATTAATTTTGTTCAATACAAAAGAGAGTTCACATAGACAACATCAAGATTGATGCATTTTCTTTATGAACATTGCAGCTTGTAGACAAAGTCCTCCTACATTTGAGAAGCGAAGCATTTCACTTGTTTTTTTTTATTTTTTTATATTAACTCGATGTGGAAGCGAAGCTCTTTTTCCCTTTTCTCCTTCAATCTTTTTGAGGAAAGAAGGGCACAATCATTAAGCTTAATCCTATATAGTTGTTTCTGGTAACTAAATAAATGCTGTTTTTTTGATTATTTTACCTAATTTTAGATTGTAATTTTCAAAAAATCAAATTTCTTTTATTACATTCTCGCCTGCTTTTATACCTAGATTTTTTTTTTTTTTTCAATACACAAATCGAACTAACTCTATATTCTACTTAAGTGTTGCAAATTCGGATTACTCAGATTTTTGTTAAATTTTTGTGGTACCTTATAACAGCACAGAGACTTAATGGAGATGAAAACATGTTTTATAAAATTATTTGCCGTATAGAAAAACAGAAAAGACAATTAACTGAAGAATAGATAAGCTACTTTTTTGAGGTTGCACGGAATGTGACAAGTAGATGCAAATAAACAATCATGAAATTTTCCATTTCACCAGATGAAATTAGGGTGATTATTATTAAATCAATGGGAAAAACCATCATTTTCCATCAATGCTAAATGCAGTCAGAAAGTGTTCTATTTCTGAGGTGCAGGCACTACGTGCCAATAGTATACAAATAAAAGGTTTGTGTCAGCATTGGTATGGAGCCATTTTTAAAGGTATTCCTAAGGCTTTAAATTTGATAAATTTTGTGTACTAGCTCCAAATACTGAAGATGATTGAAATGTTTTTCAATTGGTTTATATGTCATTTGAAGCCATCAATGGCACTGTGTATACATACACTAGGAAAGATTCATTCAAGCTGGATTCTGTCTCTGATTGAAATGTTTAGGATCGTTAAATTTTTAATAAATACGAAAGCAGCACTAATGAAAGCAACTTTTTAGAGTGGCTTTCTAACATTTTTCTCAACATGAAATTAAAGAGTACTACTGATCATCAGCTGATTTTAATGTTTTTTATTCTTTGTGAAATCATTTGATAACTAGCCAAGGTGCTGGATGTGATGTAAAAAGATGCATGGTGACTAGGGATTGCAAACCTCAGAACTTTTACCTTTGAATCCAAATATTTAAGTATGTGATGGATTTGAGAATATGCATGAACATGCAAGTTGTACCATTGAGTACTTTGGGAATAACAGCAGATATGACCAGCATACCTTACAGGAAAAAGAAACTTCCTTTCCTGGAACAGTTTCTTACCCTATTAGAAGGGGAATTGCTTGCCAAATAACTAGAAGGGCAATGCATATTCTGCAAATGGCTTGAGTTAGTGTTGTATGACTAGTATACCAATAATTTGAATGAAACTTGAATGAAGGTATAATTCTTCAACATATTCTCCAGAATAACCGACTCAAAAGCATACTTTTCTCATAGATTCCTTTGTATCATTCCCACATTGTCTGGTTCTTGTGCTAAGCTTAGTTGCATTTACAATCAGATGTGTTAAACAATAACCATTTTTCAATTCTATTCCTTAGCCTTTTCTTGGTTGAATCTACTACTTGATATTATGTAAGTGGCAGTTATTCGATAGGCTGAAGGCTTGTGGCAGCTGGCCTCACAAACATGTATCTCAATCTTATGTCAAAACTATATGGATCAAGGGTTTGGATGAAAATCTGGGATATTCAACCGGTGTTGCAATAGAACCTTGGGGCTTACTTGATGGACTTATTATTGGTACTTCTATTAACTTTAGTTACCTTCTTGTGTAGATTAGTGCTGAGGATATTTAGATTCCCGTTAATTAATTTGTTTCTATTATCTTGGAACGCTGATAGATTATGTGGAAAATCCAGACATCAGGCTCCATAAACCTCCTAGGAAAGGTCAATTGTGTGCAGGTGCTTTTGCTGAGATCCAAGCCTGAGTTCTTCTTATGTTTTGTTTGAAAATGTTCCCCCAGAACTAGGAGATTATTTCCCACAGCTGTACCTATTTGATCTTTAATGTTGATCTTTGGCTTACCAAAGACAAAGGTTGCAAACTAGGAACAGATGATAGAATGATGAACAATTATTCACTATCACTAAAGAGTATGGAAGTGCCAAAATAAAGGCTTTCGATTGATTTTGCAATCTTAAGCAAGAAATCAATCATCAATTACATGTACAATTAGTAGATGAAGTTTTTACCAAAAATTCCTGACTAAATATTTCCATGCAAACAACATTCTTTTTAACATTGATCAACCAAGTTGCAATGATAAAACAACTGGTTAAGCAATGTAGCAGCACAGAGTTAATGAGACGAAACTTCTTTCCTTTGAGACTCAGGGTGCACCCTTTTATTACTAGAATTTCATATTTAGAACCTTACCAAGAGGCTGATAAACTTTTGGACCATTGTAATATCTGAAAGTGTTACTAGTTTCCTTTGAACTTGACACCTCCTTAATTTCTTTCGAAACTGAGACCTCACGCAATGCTGTTAAAGCAGCTTTTCTCCTGGCCTTACGTTCCTTCAACTTCTTTATCTGTTCCTCCAGTTCTAATTTAGCTCTCTCTGCAGCATCAGCTCTGCTTATTGCCTGTTCAGCCCGCATCCTGAACTCTGCAATCTTTCCTGTTGCAATTTCGAGCTCTTTCTTTAAATTCTCTGACTGATGGCTATCTTCGAGCCCTGGCTTCAGAAAAGTGTCTGCCTGTTTGGCCTTTTTCACTAAACTTTCATATTCCTCCTTAAGAATTGTCACTTGGACATCTGTCTTCATATTGTCACTTTCTTCATTACCAGCTTTTGACTCACAATTTGAATCTTCCCTTGACTGAGTCGAATATTCGTGCTGGATTTTGAATGGAAAAAAGCTTCCACTTTCTTCGGGAAGTTTACCAGATGCTTTTAACTGTCGATACTTCTGCTTGGCTTCTTCAGCTTCCACTGCTAGTTGTTGTAGTGCAGCATAGACAGCAGACTTTTCAGTCTTCGCCCTTTCTTCAGCAGCCACAGCAGCAGCAATTTTTGACCTTCCTTTATGGAGCTCAGCTTTCAGCTTTGCTATCTCAACTTGTGCTTCATTCTCCTTTTCACTAGCCTCAGTCATCTCACCTGTTGTCTTCTCCAATTCCCTTCTCATCTCTTCAGCATTTCTAACCAGCCTTAGGATATCCTCATTTGCTTTACTGTGTTCCATCTTTAGCTCCTTGAGCTCATTCTCTAGCAAGGTGATGTAAACAGCCTGACCCATATTCTTCTCTTCCTTCAGTTCCAAATCTGCTTTCAACTGGTTTAGTTCGCAAAGGGCATCGAACGCAACTTTCTCAGAAGAACTGTGAAGGGCATTTGCCTTTTGAAGTTCCGCTTGCAGTGAATCAACTAATGCAGACTTGTCTAAGAACTGTTTCTCCAAATAATGCGTCAGTTCAAGTTGTTCTGTCACAGATTCTAGCTGTTGCTGTATTTGAGTTACTGCAGCTTCTGCCAGTTGTATTTCTTCCTCTTTTTCTGATATTACTGCATTCTTTTCGTCCTCTGCTTCAGCTGCCGCCATCTTCAGATGCATAATTGTTTCATTAAGCTCTGTCACATGCCTCAAAAGTTCATCTGTCTTTAACTTCTCCAAGCTAAAGGCAGTTTCCACTACTTCTAATTTTGTCAAGAACTCAAACTTTGCATCCTTTGCTGCTGCAAGTTCTATTTCCGATGTCAGAAGTTGTCCTTGAGTATCCTTTAACTCAATCAGAACATGTGAAAGCTGCTCACGTATGTTGACGGACTCAGCAATCTGATTAGCCATCTCCTTAACTGTTGATTCCAATTCACCTATGCAGATTCGAGATTCTTTGCAGTCATTTGTTAAAGTATCTTTCTCAAGTTCAGAATTCTTTAGGAGGGTAGACAGTTCATCAGATGTTTTTTGATAGTGATCCAACTTCAGAAGGGCTTGCTTGTAGGCAGAATCCTTTGCTTCCAATTGAACTTTTACATTTGCCAAGTCTTTCAACAGGTTCTCCAGCTCATTTTCTTTGTCCAATTCCTGTCAATTAAAAGAATACAAGAACATAATGAAAATTAATGACTAGCAGCCACAAGAACATTCACAGTTCAGACTTTCTGCAGATATATAGCTGATAGATCATAAATTGGAATGTCATTTCGAATTCATTTCACAACTAAATCTTATCTGCAGTTAAAGTTTTCCAGACATAATCAACATATCTGTTGCCAAATCAGTGACTAAGAATTAGGAAAATATACAACATAAAATTGAGCGTCGAGCATGAATATCTGAGGGAGCCTAGACGAACTTACTTCCTTACAGATAGGCCTGTTTTTTCTCTGGTCATTTTCTCCACCAAATAAAGAAATTGCAGCTTGGACAGACTCAATCGACTTCGTATCAATCTCTGCCATCTTTAGTCCTAGATAATCCTGGAAAGGAATTTAAGTCACAGAAAATCAATTCGATTTCAATGCTTGTCCGGCTTTGAAATCCAAATGCATCGTTAATCAAGAAAACAGAAATTTGTCAAGACTGAGACTATATGTACTTCTACCAGCATTACAGAAAAAAAATCTGCTAATACAAAGTGTGCATATGATAAGTGACGTGCACTTTTGGTATCCAAATATTAGTATGCATGATGGAATCCCAATACAGAAGAATTGCAACCTTGAATGAATAACAGATACGTGGAAAAAAAATGAATATATAAAACTGCGCAGAGAGCAACAGAATTCAAACCTGCTATTGGGAAAAAAGGATGAAATTAGATGAAGATATATGAGGTCTCTATTACATGGGGATACCAAGATATCCTAATCTTTGTATGCTGGAGGAATCGATGGGCCGGATTTTTGTTTTCATAGGACACTCCAGACATATTCATGCATTGAAACAGATAACTAAAGATTTGATAAACCTCAAAAAACATTGTAAAAGTCGTCCTAGGACAACTCTTTTTATTACTTCTGAAACTACTGATTTCAGTCTTTGGTCTGGCCAGACGACAATTCTTAACTCTTTGTTAACCGTCTTTTGGCTCCTTTGCAGTTTTGGAACTGTCTTCTTGTTGTTTAATTACCATCAACAATACACAAGGCAAATGTCTTGTAAACTCTAGACGTAGTTACTACAAAAAGCTGGCGAAATTCCATATAAACATTACTACCAGAAAACTCGATGTCTTGCATGACCACCATTTGGAGACACAGCCCCTAGCATTATGCCACATTAATTAGTAGACCACAATTCATGAAAAGAAGAAGAAAAACAGCAAATTTTAATTGATTTTCATTTTTAAAATTTTTTTTTTTTTTGCCAATGTTGAAGGGCATATATATACAAAATTTTGCCGGTACGACAACTTTTAGAAAGCTCGAAAGGTTTACACATGTTTCAATCTTTTTTTGTCTTAGATAGTATATGCCAAGGTCAAGTTTTACTTGACAATGCACATGAGCTTTATCTTTAACTAAAAATTTGTTAGGACTCTAAATTTGAGCTCAATTCATTTATACACATAAGCAAAAAAGACTTTAATGTGGTTCAAGAGTTATAAATTAGAACAAGCGTAACATCATGTGTAATTTTTAAGTGAATTGAGTGTGACCATTCCTTTTTAAAAAAAAAAGTGAGACCGTTCCTAATGTCCCCAATCCAGAAATTTATGAATTGAAAAGTATAAAAATACAGGAGATTTGCCACACATTTTGTCTTTCAACCATCAGACAAAGCAAAACTCCTGACTTGTCTTCTTCAATATTCCCAAAGAAATAGAATAGCATAAATATAGCATATGCTTCCATAGTTCTATGCCTTTTCCCTTGTCCCGTTTGATAATGTGAAAATAGGAAAGAAACCTGTAACTTTGTGGAGCTGCAGCCATCCAGAAAGGTGTCCTCAGGTGCATTACTGAACTTTTTTCTTTGTTTCTACCTGATGACTTGTAAGAATCTTCGCAATGATAGCCTCATTATTTATTGTGTAGGCAATGCACATGATTGTCTTTGCATAAAGAACAGGGATGTCATATTGACGACCTTGCAGTTAGATATATAATGGATGTCTTTGTTTCATTAGCTTTCTTCAAACAGTAAAATGCTTTTCCAAAATGAAAGATTTGCCTGCGCCGACCACAACAGATTTCTGTCTCATTTTACCATCCCACTCCCTGTCTATTTGCTTTACAGTTAATAACTGTAGCAAATTAATGGACGGTTTCATCTATGCTAGGATTCTTTGTCAAAAGATCAATTGCACAGTCACTTCTTATCTTTCAAGTAAACTATCCAGGCTTTCGATTGCATTGCATTTCATAGCTGCTTGAGTTCATAGTACCTTGTCAATTTCATTAGCCAAAATGCGGTCGTCACAAGCAATGAGAAACTAGAAAGTCAGGATCCATTCTTCATATCATGCCAGTAAATATTGACATTGGGCATCTCATTTCCTGTTAACGTCATGCCTCTTCAAGCAAAAGTGCAGTGCAGGCCAACAGTGAAGACACCTCTTCTGGAGTTGCAGATCCAAAACCTTGCCACCGTATTCTACCAAACTTGTCGAGCAAGAACACATAACTGTGAAGAAGAAATATACATGAGTAACTTCGTCAAACTAATTCAGACGGAAAATAAGAGGAATGGAGAACAAAAAGAAAATGTGTGCTACCCGGTTAGAAGGTTCAATATGTTGAGCTCTTTTCTATAATAGTAATGGTCGCCGAAAGAATATACGATTTGTCTCTGCAGTACATTCTTCTTATCATCAGGGCTAGGTTTCTTCATTATTCGCAGAAGCAGCTTCTTTATTAGATTACGCCTTAGTAGCCACGACTCTATCAAGGAAACCTGGACATGTTTAAGATTTATTAACACATATATAGCAAATTATGTCATGGCTCCTATAAGCTATGCATTTCCTTTAATCTAAGCACAGTGAGAGTGATAAACCCCATCCAGTCTCTTATTGCACCAAGGAACAACAAAATGTGAGCCATCCTCCCTTTACAAAAGGATAAAGAAATTAAATGCAATTTGCAAACCTTTAATTGAAAGAAAATTATGCTATACCTCAAATAACTGAGTTTCGTTGGAGCTGCAGAACTCATCAAGGAATGGCTTGCTCCAAGAATTAATCATTGCCTACAAAGCAGGAAGCTTTTCAGGATGAAGTTCTAGGAACAATTTTTAAGCATCTTTAAGCTCATTATATCGAATCAAAACAAAATCCAAGCAAAACATTATTAAAGTCTCCTTTTGTGAAAAAGAATCAGGAATCTGATTCCTCTTCCCCTCATAAATAAGCTTTATTCATTCACTACGCAAATCAAAGACCCAAGGGAAGTAATTTTGAATGCGTGTAGTTCTATAAATAAGGAATAACCATCTACAAATGAATTAATCAACATAAGTACGAATTACTAGAAACTTAAAATCATAACATGTACTTACAAGCTAAAAGCCCACACCAAATGCCTACAAGACAAACTAACAAACTGACAAAGCAATCCCAGTTCACCACACATAGCATCTGAGCTTTATTGTCTGCTCTGAATCTGAAGTCATTTCTAACAAATGCCAGTTATCCAGTTGCTTATTTCTAGATTCATAATCTAAAAAACTACATTTCAAGGCAACCCATGATGATACCACAGAAGTAAATTCTCTTGATACAACAGTTTCACAGTATGTGATAGTATCAAGTTCTTTAAAGCTGCTAAGCTCCCAACAATAAATTAGGACCACAAAACAGCTGTGGAACAGGGAAGACAAGAATGTTATGAAGAATGTTATCAAGTTATTCCCTGATATTCTTCAATGAACACGAGACTGTTTGATGCTAAAACTGTCCATATAAAATCACAATGTACTAAGGCATTCAAAATAAGATGTAATAAAAACACTCCATAAAAACAATACTGCAACTGGACCTCCCTCAGGGTGTAGAACACAAAAGATAGCATATACTAATACGAAGTAAATTAAATCTCCATGAGTCTTTAACACGAAGGATGCCGGTATAATAAAATGAAGAACATACATTGAGGTTCAGAAAGGTTATTTCAGTTCAGCTGTACTCAAGCAACATGTTCATGCTACATCATGAAAATATTGAACGTTAATGGCAAGCCTAAAGCAAGAAGTTGTTAGTTATCTTCTTTCTGCCATTATCTCATTTAAGAGGCATGCCCATTTCCAATTTATTCCAAATAAAATCACATATAATTAAGCCTCTTTCCTTCTTATGATGCTCTATGTATGAGTCTGCCTCATTTTGAATATAAGCAGGATGACATGAAAGGCAGAAACGTGCTTGATTTACTGTAGGCTAATGAATTGAACCAAACAATCAACTAGGCCCATAACAACTATCAGATCAGACTTGTCAAACCTGTGAGCTTCCGCGGAATGAAAGACAGAGCAATGACGCTTTAGGAACATCCAATTTGTCAGCACTAGAGCCATTTCCACCAGATGTAATGGGCAGCTTAAGACTTGAACCATCAGAAAAGTTCACTTCCAATGCAGGAAACTTAGTAGCTGCCATTGCCGGAATTATAATCTCATTTGCCATTGCAATCTACATAAAAACAACCCATATCCGCAACCAAAAAATCAACTTCAAAGGCCTCCAAGCATATCATTGTAAAAGTACAACAAAATAATCCAACATTAAAATCAACTACTACGATTAAGCACTGTAAATTAATAGCTCTTCATTTCACCTTGCCACCATGTTTCTTCATCTCTCCAAAATCAGCAAAATAGCCCCTACTCATTTCATCTGAACTGCCCTAAATCACATTTAACTTATGTAAAGATTAACAGTCCACATATACATTTCTATATAAATATTTCCATACAAGTGTAGAGAGCATAATGTCAAACACTGAACTTACATCCTAGCACGTTCCTTCTCAATTGCAGCCTTGTTTGCAAGCTGAAACCAGATAGGTTCTCAATAATCATAAAAAATATCAAAATTTTACAGAGACTTGCACCATATTAAAACCAAATCAAACCCCTTATCTTTCAGTCATTCAGTGCATTTCTGCTAAGCCAAATACGGAATAAGAAGATAACCTTGGACTAACCTGGTAGATATCAAGGAAGCGGTTGGAGGTCCACTGAGATGGATTTTTTGAAGGGATGAAAGAACCCACCAGCTTATCAGTAGTGATATAATTTGGTCTGACAAGACGCCTTGAATGATGAAGAATTGCAGGTGCTGCTGCTGCTGAAGTTAGTTTCTTCAAACTTAACATCATCACTAGTCTCTCTGTGAAGATTCCCTGTTGTTTGTTTTGTAAATTCCTCTTTTCTTGCCTTCTTTCTTTATTCTATTCAAGGAGATGGGCTAATTTCTCTGTTCATAAGGTGCGATGAACATATCAATCATGAAAAACATTTTCCTAGTTTATAGTAACCCAGCAACCATAAAAATGATCATAAACACCCTTAACCGATATAACAACACATAAAGTCATAATTGCACATTTTTCCACACAATTGCATAATTACCGTGTTGTAAAATCAACAACCGAATATAAACTGACTCAACTTTAGAAACATTTACCAGATCAAGTTTGAGACACTAACAATACTAATGCACGATGCACAATATCTGGCACAGTTTCTCCTGCACCTAGACGAACTCGATGGTTTTACAATTCTACAGCAGATGGAGAAAGCCATATAATTTTATATAACAACATCCCAACCAATTACGTTGGATCAAATTCTTAAAAACAACAGAATTTCATAGCAGTTGCAAAAGTCTAATCCAATTTGCATACGACAAGGACATTCAATAACATAGCTTTCATGCAGTTAGCATAATTTTTGAGTCTCCAATGTCAATGCTATGGTAAAGAATCAGATTTTGGGAACTTACTAGCTGATACTCCAAGACAGCAGCAGTTTCTGAACTTCCAGTCTGAACAAATAAACAAATAATGGTGCTGCACGGGACAAAACAGGTTTTAAATTTATTCAACAACCAAAACCAAAATGAAATACGTAACTCACAAAATTTCTGGTGACCAGCAACTTTTTTTACTTCTATGTTTCTCATAAATGAGAACTTGAGCGAATGGAAATAGTCTCGGAATATTGTAATTGGATCTTCTAGAGGCTAAGGGTAGCATTTTTTTAGTTGGAGGATACTATATCAGTGTAACCTTAATAGATAAGATTTCCAGCAGCATTTACATTAAACAAAGTCCATGGTTTACATATACAAAAGTAGCTTCTGTCATTTTCATGTAGTACAATCTCTCACATGAAAAGTTCTTATAGTAATTCAGACCCCCAAAACAAGAAAAGGAGAGTTGGTATAGCTAATGAAAGACAAATCGTAAGTGGTAAAAGTCTATGTTGCAAGGTAACAGGTTTTGGAAACTGCAAGTCAGCAATTTGACAAACCTAGAGCAACATGTAATGGTTGTATAATGTTCAGCCTGTCTTCAAGAAACTAGAAGAAAACCAAGATCTAAGTATCTTAACCTCAGAAAGCAATTAAGAACACGATGGAGAATAAAGTTCTTTCTCCCATTCATCTCTCAAAAGAAAAGGCAAATGTAACATCCAAAATATTAATGCTATGCAAATTTACTAGAATTGAATTTCAAATTTTAAAAACCAAGGTAAAAAGTACTGCATCATCGCATTTGTTTTGGACCGTCCATTTGAACTTTTTCCAAAACACAAAAAAACAAACGAAGTGAAGAACCCAGAGGACTTTTGCATGCACCAAAGTGCAGAAAGTAAATAAAAAGGTCAAAAAAGTAGCTACACAGTAATAACAAAATATAGAAATCAACTCAATAAAAAATAAGATGCGGAAGGATTGGAAGTTGGAAGGTGTCAAACTAAGTATTTACGTCACATGCAGTTTGAAAATTGCAGTAGTAGGATTTTACAAAATTGTACATCATCACAGTGTTCTGAAGTGGCACTGTGCGGCAAATTCTTGGAAAAATTCTTTCTTAATTTTTGCTACACCATGATCATTTAAAACACATACTTTTCTAACAATGATCAACTGTCCTCAAAGTGGTTCTATGAAGATTGAAGCCCAAGAGGCAACATAGATAAAAAAGAATCATCATGAAAATTTCCATTTTATCTGGCCTGAAATTCTAAATACGAATAATCAAAGACTTTTTCAATTGAAGCAAACCCCCAAAATGCCAGCTGACCAAGAAAAGGGTATGCTTCTATTGAATCCTGGTTCACATTAGGCATCCAAAATCAGTCCTACTAGTTTCTTTTCATGCTTGAATGTTTGGTGAATTCATCATCATCATTATCACATTGGATGTCATTACTACTACTAAAATTATACTTGTGCGTCATAAACAATTTTGTTCCACACGAATACACTAAATTTTGAGGCCATAATTGGGACACCTGACAATTTCTTTTTGGCAGACTCCATTACACCACATGTATATTATCAGCACTTCTCTCAGTGGGGTGGATAGATATAGAGCTAAAACTGCTTTATCGATGTAAAATTGTTCAAAACTACTACTTGATAGTTGTTAAAGCAGACAAAAATCTCAAAATACAAAACCAATAATAAAAAATGAAAGGAAACGAACCGTGTCAAGGAGTGAGAGAGTGGCGGCGGAGGAACGATGCTGGGGACGACGGAGAAGGCCAGCGGCGGAAGAGCTGAGGAGACGGGGAGATGATGGACGCGTTCGATCTGGTTGAAGGAGAGCCAAAAAGGAAGAAGAAGAATCGTAAGCGACTTTATAAAACGTATCAGAAAGCAGACGCTTTAGTGTAATTTATTGGGGCATTTTTCTATTTTCATTTTCAACTTTTCGAATTCTGGTTTACTTTTCCATTTTTCTTTTCCTGTAATTCACCGTGCCCATCTTCATTTTCAAAAAAAAAAATTTTGTAATTGCACAATTAGTATGTCTAGTTTTCTTTTTTTCCCCACTAGTTATTGTACAAAAGGCTTTTAAAAAAACAGAATTAGAGTGATTTTGAATAATTTTGAATTGGTTAAAAGTAAATGAATCATTAAACATGACAAATTTTTTTTCTCCTTTCTCGTTATGAATTGAAAAATTAGCACTTTTTTTCCTTCTATATTGGATTAATTGCAATGCACTCTCAAACTACTTATTATATGTAATTAGAATTAATCTTTCCTACACTGACAGTGTATACACTATCAGCATTGAATGAATGGCATCTGTGCAAAATTTGAATTTGAAAATCAATTTTTACACACATGTCATGATTCTAACGATGATAGTATATACACTGTCATTGTAAAAAAGATTTACTCTTATATCACTGGCCTATACTTTTATAGAGCTCGATCTTTGCTTATATCAAGAGCATCTTCAATAGGTGTCATATTTAGTAATAAATTAAGAAAGCGATTTATGAACAGAAGGGTTGTTCAAAAGGTTTAATCGCAAAAAATCAGTGTTGAAGCTGGTTAGGTCCTACGGATAATTAAATTAATATGAAAGTTACACATCACCTCACATATAACCCTACCACATAATTAAGACTTGACATTTATATGGTCACATCAGCATTTATCCAATTTGCAACTCCTTGTAGGCCATGTAGGGAAATTGTTCTGAGCTATTTGTTTAATTTTTATATTCAAGTCTTACTATACGTGAGTTTCGTCTAATTTTATGTTTGCACTATTTGTAGGTTAGTTTATAGTGTTTGTAATATATTTTTATGTGAGTTGTAATTTATTTATATTATTCATTATTGTGGGTTCTTCGTAATTTTATCAAAAACAAGTAAAGAAATGGTACTTTACCCATGATTTTTTTCAAAGGATAAAGTGCAATAAAAGCAACTGGGGAAATTATTAACTAAGCCAATAACAATATAAAGCTTCATTTGAGTTAAAAGTGCAATATTGGTCCTTCAAAACTTGTGTTGAAATAGTATATTTTCAATCAAATTACAGACAAGTATCTTTACAAGCAAGGGGATAAATTAATAAATTCTATTGATACTACAACTAGTTGGCAGTCAGAAGAATCGTGAAATTCTTTAGATTGTGGATTGACAAAATCAATAATGGTAGAAAAAGTATACATTGATAATAGAAATCAGAGGAGAGATATGTTGAGTGGTACATAGAAGAAAGTATAAGTGAAATGTCACTTGTTCTACGCCCCTACTTACATTTTAAAAAAAAAAAAAAAAGCTCTTGACAAATTAAATGCATCAATTATTATTGAATATTTGTGCATAGACTTGAAAAGCTTTAGTTGATCTCAATTTGTTTGAACAATGTGCCGTAATTTGATATTATAAAATAATTAATTGCTATTATTGATGATTTAAGGGTTAATTATATGAGTAAATCTTTTCTACACTGACAGTGTATACACTATCATCGTTAGAATCATGACATGTGTGCAAAAATTGAATTTTGCACATATGTCATTCATCCAATGCTGATATAATCCATAATTTTCATAATATTGGCCAATTATGTAAAACTCCTTTTAATTCCTCCCGAAGTTTGTTTAACTGCTTTCAGAATAAAATGTGCTAGAAAGGACCTTTAAAGATTAACCCAGCGCAATTACCCTATTTTTATGCAAACATACAAGCGTTTGATACTTACATATAAGGAAAACAAGGAAAAACTTGTTATTCTTTATTTTTGTTTTTGAAAAAAGAAAAGCTCAAAACCAAAATATTCATTTCCATCCTAGCTAGTAAGAGTAGTGATATTTATGACCGTACCAAAACTTTGTTTTATATTACAAATGAAAAAAAAAAATTGACTATGCTCAGTTGCAGTTTGTTCAAAAAGTTTTTCTTTTCTAAATTTTCTCATCGGTTATTCTTCACAAAACCCCTGTTTTTTTTTTTTTTTTGTCTATTTAAATCTTCTCATCTTTTTGTTCGTCACACGCCCTTGTCCAAAAACTAATTCAGTAATAATTAAAATGCGGTCCTTGTATTTTTTGCATCAAGTGCATGGATAAACAGGAAGGACTAATTTCATTTTTTTAGTTTAATTTCGCAGAAATAACACTCTTATGGAATAATATATTCACTTTAGAGGGTGAGTAATAATTTAAAATTTTATGAATAACCACAGTATTTTTGTTCCATGCCAAATATGCAAAAATCAGAGAAAATTGCAACACACATCCTCAAACTACTTTTAATATGTATTTCATCCTTGAATCAAAAACTTTTTTTTTGTTACGCTCCTCTACTTTTCTATTTCCTCACTGTCTCAAATTTATTAGTTATGATTTGAATCCTGATCTACTAGGTGGAAGTACAACTCCCTAACCCATGACTAGCGGTTGAACAGTAAAACTTAATTATTGTATACTATCAAATTACGTTGCATTGTTCAAATATATTGAAATTCTCGTAGTTTATTTTCTGCCACTATTTTTCACTAAAAATATTTTAGTACCTCCAATTAATATCAATTTTAGCACTTAATTACATTGTACTAAGTATTCTTGATCGCTTAAAAGTATTAAAGGCTTTCCATTAAAAAATTGTTACCAAATTTCATTAGTTCCCAACCAATTTAAGTGAGTGCTAGAATCGATAGTTTAGTGGTGCAAAACCACAAATTAGTGATAGTTCGTTGGTGCCTATTATAATTAACTTTAATTTACTGTCTATAATTTGTGTTCTCGTGAGGCGCCGCTATTTTGCTTGCAATGACAGATACATGATGAGTTGTCAGACACCTATGATGATTGAGATAGAAGTGACAACACACACTCATATAAGCAACCAACAAAAGCGACCGTCCAGCATTGGGAGGTAGAAGAAGAAGATGAGAGTTGTGATTTGTGAGGTGAATTTCACTTGAGATAAGATAGATTTATTGCAGCCTGCAAGAATGGAGAAAGCTCTGACAACAGTTGGGAGCTTAAAAGCTAGTACGTTTTGGGTTTCCAAGAAAGCCAAGGAAGAGATCTCCAGCATCACTCAGGACGTCTCTGTATAATCATCTTTTCCTTTTCTTTCTTGATTGTTATTCAGTTATTTGAATTCTTCATTTTAATTTGTATACTGCATTAGTTCCTTTGATGCTGCTTTGTTTTAGTGGTATTTCGACTCTGTCATTGTTATCTGAATTGACGTGCAAGAACTTTTAGTACAATGTCATAATAAGATTTGTGAGATTTAGTAGTAGATATAAGGAATCTTGAGGAAAGGAGAGGAGGGCTCCTGTTTAATTTGGATTTGGGTGGAAATATGAGATAAGACACAGGATTCTTGTTTCAATGCCCTGTTAATTCTGAGATGCATTGATTGGAAAGTTTTGATCAGACAGAGTATTCTTGATTTTCCTTCTAATTCTGAGATTAGTAGCATTAATGGATGTGTAGTGCAGAGGGTGTGGTTTTATGGACAACAGGCTTTACCACAATCATTATTATAGATGCTGATATTATTTTGCGCTTTTGACATTTCTGAGTTCAGTTGGGAGTTAGTCGAACTGTGTTTTCCATCAGGACTGTACTGTCTAATCTGAAAATTGGCATAGTTGTAACCTCAAAAGGAGGATCAAGTAAGAAAGAGGTTGTCAATAATTCTTGGTCAATTTCTATTAGAACGTAATAAGACTTTGATCATTGCTTCTTTTCATAAAATATAGCTTCTGGTTTCCAACTTCTGCTATGCTTATCCATAAGAATCCTCACTTTTCATATTACCGCCTTTTGATTAGTAGAGATTTAGTGAAAAATTGTGCCGGATTCTTCTTAATCTTTATCGCGTACATCGTTCAAGCCTTTTCAAGGTTCTTAAGCTTAGAGCTGGGATCAATCCTACTACCAGAATATGGCTACTTCATTGCGATTTGTCTGTCATTTCAGAGCTAGTGAGGGGCCTTGTCTCCCCAATTCTTTGGCCTCCAAAGTTCAATGTGCCTTTTTTTTTCCAATGTGCCTAATGTGTCATTAATGTGCCCTTTTTTGGCTCCAAAACTTGGGTTTATTGACATTGTCTTTCTGCTGACTTCAGAAGAATCATACCACCAGACCTGATATTGCAACGTATGCACTCTAGCAGAGTAACTCTTTTTTAACTTTGTGATCTTCCAATGAGATTCAGGCTTCCCATCCCATCCAATTTGTATGTTTTCCTTTGAAGATAATTATAATGAAGAACTACACAGAGTTCTTTGGCCATTAGCATTCTCGTTAACTTAGACAAGTAGCTATTTTTCCAGACTGGCTCCCAAGGGAACTGAAATTGTTCCTACTTGGTCAGTTTCATAATTCTGATTGTGAAGATTTTTAATCCAAGAAATTTTAGAGCAAATGTCATTCTGAATAAATTCTGATTTTTGAAATCCATGAAACAGCATACCATCTGTCTTGGACTTGATCTATTAAGTCATAAATTGTGAACCATGGCCAGGAAGACCTGTTTATGTTTTAAGTAAACTTGATTTCAGTCATCATATTGAACTATATTTCTTTTGGGTTGGCTTACATTCAGCAGTCTCTTGCTGAGGACTCTTTTCTTTCTCCTTTTTCACTTTTCTTGTCGATTTACAAAGAACCATAAATATATATAGTTTCTTCTCATGGACAATTTTACATAGATGAACTTGCAACTACTATCTCGGCTTTTCTTTTCTCATCTTTGTTGATCTTTTGCATAAGATTACAATCCTGTTTTGCTGCTCTTCCAGTAACTGCGCTTTCTATTTCCAGACCTTCTCTAATACTGTTGAAGAAAAGGCA